ACAAACGAATGAATGAATGAATGAATGAATGAATGAAATCCTCAAAAGGTACTTTAATAAAACCTACCCTTAGCCAGTACCCACCAGCCCACGTGGCAGGTGGTAGGCGGCAGGGAGCCGCAAGAGACCAAGGCCGGTGGGCCCCAGCGTGAGCGCACGGCCATCATTGCTCCGGGGCATCATGGCAGCTACCAGGAAGCCTTGCTCATTTGGGTGGTGGACGTCCTGGTGGTGGGCACACAGGCTTGATTTCACAAATGCCTACACAGAAGCTACTGCATGCCAGGCACTGTTCTGAGTACTTCCTAAGTATTAACTCCTCTTCCTAACAACCTATGGAGCGATACCACCATTATGTTTTACAGAAGAGGAAGCGATAAAGCAGAGAGGTGAAGTCATTTGCTCAGGGTCACCCAGCCGCATAAAAGGTAGAGGTTCAATTTGAACCTGGCTCCGGAGTCTGGTCTCAACTGCGACACAGACCTGCCTTCATGCTGCGATCGATAACGTGGGAGCGTCATTTCTTACAGAGCCACCTGCCGAATCCAGTGATAAACTGCCCGGTGTCCCCGTCGTTGCCCCTAATCCTGCCAGTTTTCTGAGGGCATTGGCTCTGGACCTGCCAACTCTTTTGTTCCCTTAACTTCCCTTTACTCCGGAATGATAGCTGTGGCTTTAAAAAATCTGAAAGGCTTTCAGGAAGTCCGTATTTTGCTGCAGGTGTATAGTTGAAGAACTACATGGTCAACAGCTGACCTTCCTGCATGTCGCCTCACTGATTTCCAAGTCCACTGGGTGAGGTATGACGTGGTCACGATTATCCGTACCTTCCAGATGAGGAGAATGGAGCTCAGAATCGGCACCCCAACCTCGCACACTAGTTGAGTGCAGGGCTCGGATTCAGATGTGTCCTAACTCCAACCTGGATGCCTGCTCTGTACTTTGTTCTTCATCAGACACAGGGTGGGGGTGTCAGGGCCCCAAAGTCCTCTGGACCCATCCATGCCCCGTCTAGAATTCTCCCTCCTCACAGGGTCCCTCCACTGCCCCGGGCCAACTAACTGTAACCATCTATCTGTCCGTCTCCAGGGGCTCTCAGCTGGACCAGTGGGGTCCTGTGTGCTGGGCCTCAGGGTCTGAGCTGCACATCCTCTCCTGGATGCCACGTTTGCTCGCACCAGAGTGAAATGCTGACGGAGAGCCTGAGGGTGCTATCGGTCCCTCTGGAGAGACCAGTTCCATCGGACCAGGCTCACCAAATAACCTGAGCCTAGTGCCTTAGGGCAGCTACGATCAAGGGACAGACCCCCCCCCCAGATGCCATTTATTTGTCTTTATTATTACAATGGAATCACCTTGTGAAAAATAGAAACATTATAGATAAGGCAAGAGTCTACTCAGACTGTAACGTATATCCTACCTCAATTCCTGTCCCACCAAGGGCACCTGTCTTTAGATTGGTTTTCTTCTTATTTTTAGAAACATATTTGGTTATGTAAAATATACAGTAGTATTTTGAGAGGGTTCAAATAATTATAACTGCAACTTGTTTACTTCCACTCAACAGCATGTCTTGGAGGTAAATCTCCATTATTCTTTTAAACGGCAGCAGGAAATTGCCAGGCTGTATTAAGTCATTTCCTTAGAGATGGGCATTTAGGGTTTTGGTGTTTTTCTGTTGTAAACAATGATGCATGAGTATCTCAGGACCATTGTTCTGCCCACGGCCTTCCTAGCACCAGCCTTCACTTGCCCAAACAAGTCCCCTGCCTTATGCCGGAGCGGGGGAGGACCCTGCAGCCATCGGTTCTAACTTCCTCATTTTAAGGATGTAGAAACAGACTTAGACGGTGACTGTTTATGTCCACAGCAGCGGAATGACTTCTGCCAGCCCCACCAAGCCCCGCCCATGCCGTGGGTTTGGCTTCCCAGCGACACAGGCTCCTTTGATGCCAGTCCCATAATAGGGAGACTGAGTCCTGTGCGTGTGCTAGAAATGAGGAGTGCCCCAAAGACGGACGTCCATGCTCAGGTCTGGCTAGCAGATTCTTCTCTAGATAATGCTCCATCATAGCTCTTCCTCTTTCACGCTCTCCCTGTCTGCGGGGTGGCTGCAAGCACTTTGGAAAACCTGTCTAAGAAGAGGGATCCCAAGGGGCATTATCAATGTCTCCAGCATGTGCGCTTTTGGTATTTAATATGCCCTGGTCTTCAGTTGTTTCAACATAAATCCTTTCATTAGTCACACCAGTTTTAATTACAGATTTTGAGTTGGGATCCTCATGAAATCAGTAATTCCTCATCTCCTAAAATAGCAAGAGAGCACTGCCATGAGCCCAGGTGCTGTACAGCAGTGAGCCCCTTCCATTTTCTGGGAAGTTTGCAGTATAGGACTTTCAACAGAGAAATTACCCTTTCGTATCAAACATGCAACTTCTCAGAAAGCACCTTCTCCTCAAATATCTTAGGTCAGATGTGGGAGTTTATGGCATAGACACTCGGGCAGTCGTGGGAGGTGTTGGGTGCACCATGATTTAACGCAAGAAGGCGGGCTTGGCTTTGCTACTTTGTAGCAATTAAAGGCTCAGGCCTGGTTTTCCTTCCCAGGTTCCTGAGGGCGGAGATAACAAGCTAACAGGGCTGCACTAATGTGAGGTGAGGTCATTGAAAAACACCCAGCACCAACTAGATGTTTAATAAATCAAGGCCATGTTTCTTATGACCAAGTCTTTCCTCTCATTTTGAATTAGGAAGATGGTCAGACTGTCTCAAAAAGCTAATTATTCAATGCTAGTTTCTCACTCAAATCTTACTCGATTTCCTTCCATAATGCCTTTCATTGTCTTACTTTTTTTTTTTTTTTTTTTTTTTTTTTGAGAAGCAGTTACATGGTAGCTGATGGCTCTGGTTCTGGGCCAGACGGCCTTGGGTTTCCTTCTGGGTTAGCTGGCTCACTCTGGGGAAGAATGTGTGGGCGGCGTTCAACTTTCAGTGCTATCCGCTGACACGGAAACGTTAGTCCTTTAATTTAGTCCACATATTCATCTTTTGATTGTAATTGTTAGAAACCTATTCTTTGTTGTGATCCTGGAAGCTAAATATTGTAATTAATACCATGCTCCCATCTGAGAGTTTATAAAGTATCTACCATGTTCTTAGCATGTAGTAGGAGTTCCCTAAATGGTAGGGAACCCATATGTTGTATAGGCTTCGCCAAACATTTGGGTACTTATTACTTAAAATAAAATATGAATATCTATTTAAAGAAAAGATGTCTATGTTATAGTGTTCTATTATTTTAAAGTATGCATTGGATTATTACAATGAGAAATAAAAGCCAGTAATGGTAAGAAATAGATCTTAAGGGGCGCCTGGATGTCTCAGTCAGTTAAGCGTCCCACTCTTGATTTCGGCTCAGGTCATGATCTCAACGTCATGAGATCGAGCCCCATATTGAGCTGTGCACTGGGTGTGGGGCATGCTGAAGATTCTCTCTCCCTCTCCCTCTGCCCTCACTAGCACTCTCTCTCTAAAGAAAAAGAAAGAAAAAAAGACATAGCTCTTAAGATTTGGGAGCTTGGGGACTTAAACCAGCTAAATGTTCAGATTGAAGTTCTTTCTCCCACACATCCCAAAGTTGTCATTTCTGAGAAATTTGACATGAATTCCCTTCTGCAGATCATCGTTGAATGTTGGGACATAGAATTTGCAAATTATAATATGAGCATTCCTTATGAGATCTCCTATGTATGCTATAACCAACATTACTAGGGTGACGTTTATCAGAAAGAATGCAAGGGTAATAATCATGCCCCCTTGTGATTCCCTGAGCAGAAAGTAGTCGTTTCCAATCTGAAAAATGATTAGATTGTAGGGGCACCTGGGTGACTGAGTCGTTAAGCGTCTGCCTTTGGCTCAGGTCATGATCCCAGGGTCCTGGGCTCGAGCCCCGCATCGGGCTCCCTGCTCCGCGGGAAGCCTGCTTCTCCCTCTCCCGCTCCCCCTGTTTGTGTTCCTGCTCTCGCTGTGTCTCTCTCTGTCAAATAAATAAATCAATCTTTTTTAAAAATGATTGGATTGTGTATCTCTCCATTGATTAGTATTTTAATGATAAGTGGGCAGAATGTGAGGGACATTTATTATCTGATATATTGAACAATATCTAATCAGACTCTTGCCTGGATCCAGAATATCACTCATGCAGGTTAAGGAAATCATTCAAGATCAAAGTGGACCCACAGAGAAATCACTACAGACAACCTGTGCCGTTCAAGTGACAGTATTAAGTGAGAGATATGGCAGAGTGGGGTACACACACGACTTTGCAGCAGGCGCAGATTCGTTTAAAGTTCTTACGGGTATCAAACCTCGCGTACGTTCTGGTCATGTGCTATCAAACCTTGCGTACGTTTTGGTTAAGTGAATTGTGAAAAAGGAAGAAGACTCTGGGGACCTGGGGCCATTTGGGGAAGTGACAGCGAAGGACCAGGCAGAAATAAAGCAGAGACAGCACCACGTGGGGCCGGGGCCGGTGCTCGGGCGAGGGCTGCCCTCCGGCCCCAGCACCTCTGTCCAGGCAGGGGCGACCCCCTCCTCTCCGTCTCTCTGGGATTCCTTCCACAGACTGGCTGTGGTTCATTCGGGGCTCCACCATTGGATGGTAGCCCTTGTTGACCCTCAGGGGAGGGAGGCGCCAGTGACGTCAGACCAGTCCCCACCGCCAACCTGCGTGTGGTCCCCGAGCTAAGAACACGTTTTACATTGTTTTAAGTAGCTGGGGGAAAATTTTTTTAAATTACGTGATCCATGAAAATGGTATGAAATTCAAATTTCACCTTCCGTAAATAAGGTATTATACCTCAGGTACACCTGTGCAAGGACCTACCGTCCATGAGAGTTTCCCCGAGGCAATGACAGAGCTCAGTATGACAGAGGCTGGTGCTCGACAGGGACTTCTTGCTGACTGCCACCATAGTCCGTGGACTTTGTTTGCAGAGTCAACCTTGGGTCGAAATGAGGATTTCGTCTATGTGGTTAGTAAACAGCCCTCAAGGTCTTTGCTTCCTGCAATTCTCAGTAACTTTCAGTTGTTCGGCTGTCCACGCGCACACGTATGCTCATGTACCCAGACCACAGGCGGGTGAGAAAAAACCCAGAGGCTGGATTTGGAGTCTTCAACCTTTCTCCTCCCCTATTCTGTTAACGGGCTTCAGACCTGTTTCACATGTTTGAAAATATGGGGACTTCACTCTTCAAGAACTCGAGGTCAGTTACTGAGATATAATTGGTCTCAGAGTGTCCAGTTTCCGTTGCCTCTGTGTGTGTGAGGACACAGGTATCTTGCAACAGTTGGTGAGATTTTGAGGTATGTCTCTCTTGAAATACTTGCTAGTTACTTTCTAGGAAACACGTCCTCATTAATCCATGTTTTGGGGTCAAGTTATTTTGACGATTTTAAAGGGAATGTGTGCACAAACTTGTATTTTCAGATAGATTTGTATTCTATTGTATGATTAAAGAAGTAATATGCACTGGTTGAGGTTTCGATGTGGCCCTAAGATTATTAATTTTATTCAAATAAACATGGAATGCTTAGTCTTTTTTAAAGAGAAAATTATTTTCCAAGGCTTTTAGTTTTTCCCGATGGGTTGGTTTAGGTGTCCTCTCGGAGACTGAAGTCCCACCTGACAAATGAGGCTGAGCACTGTTTCCTGCCAGGCATTAGCGTCCTCCCCAGGCCAGCCTCTGTGAGGGCTGTCCGCCCGGCTGAGTGACAGCCTGCCGCAGATAAGATCTGCGCTCGTTCCTGGTGCTTGTAACTAAGGAAGCTAATTAAAGGAAGTGAAGGTAGACTCACAACGCTATTTTTGTCTTTGTAAGAAAATGACAAATAAATCGATAAAACAATCATGACTGTGAAAATCTGTATCAAATATATTTGCCCCAGGTAGAAGTTAATTATGAAAGAAACGCATTTCCAGCGTGCTAATTTGTATTCTTGGAACATTCTGGAACTCAAGCAGGTATGCTCTATGTGTCTGGCACCCCCACCCTTCCCCACCACTCTGTTCTTGAACTTCTACCTTTGTTCCCTTTCCTCTCTCCCCACAGACCCTGTTCTTGGTCCTGGGCTTCCAGGCCCCCCCCACTCCCCGCCTTCTTCTCCCAGTCCTGCTCTGCTCGGGCAGCGCGCACGTTCTTTGTTTTCTCACTAATCTTCATAGCTCTTCATAGGGCACATCAAGTCATTGTTATGCAGGGTGCAAATATTTTTTTGAAGTTTAAATTTTGATTATATTATTTTGACATCCGAAAGTTTTAAATTTAGTCTTGATTTCATGCTTAGAAAAGTCACATCCATCAAAAGATGACATAAACTCCCAGTCTTATTGTATTCTAGTATTTCAGTGTTAATTTTTCACAGTTAGACTTTTAATTTTTCTGGCATTCTGAATTGTAAGGTGTATCCTAGGGATTTAACCATGTTTTTTCCCCCAAACTGTTCACCTGTCCCTTTCTACTCACCTGTTCTTATAACCTTTCCTTTCTGTTCTGACTTCAAACATCACTTACGTTCTAAAGTCTTATGTACACCTGGACCTGTTTTTGGATTTTTCTCTTCCATAAGGTCTGCCTTTTCTTTGTACTGTTTTCCAGGTTGTTGAGCTGTAACTGGGATGCAACACTGTGGCAAGTTTAAGTGATCTGTAGCTCACATGCTGATTATCCTGCCAGGTGATTACCACCTCAGCTCCTGCTAGCACCTCTGACGCATCACCTCATTACCATCTCTTGTTTTGGTAGGAACATTTAAGATCCATTCCCTTAGCAACTTTCAGATATGCAGCACAGTATTATTAGCTGTAGTCACCAAGCTGCACATCACACCCCAGGACATTTTATCTTCTACCTGGAAGCTTATGCCCTTTGACGACCTTCCCCCATTCCGCCCACCCACACCCGGGCCTACTCCTTCCTGAGTGGCAGTAGCCGGGACTGGAGGCTTCCTTGCTGGTATCACAGGTCCACCTGACCTGATGGCCAGAGCCCGTGTGTGGCACTCGAGAACTGCGGCTCAGGAACGGGGCTGCACCTGCCAACCGCCTCCTCCCGGAGCAGAGCTGACCTCGCCTCCCGGAGCCAAGGTGCAGAGTAGGGCGATGGGGTGGGGTTGCGCCGGACGCCCACTTCTGGCTCCAGGCCTGACCGAGGGGCCAGGAGCAGGTGCCCTGCCCTCCTGCATGCTTCCCCACCGAGGCTCCCTCCTGCCCAGGTCCTTGTTCTGTCCACTGTCGCGCCGCGGACGTGCTGTTGTGTCAGTGTCACCTGCCGCGTGTGCCATAAACCCCTCGGCTGCCTCCGGGCGAGATGCGCATGGCATGGCCCCTGCACAAGTGCTAAGGGCAGTGAGGCCTGGGCCCCTGGGCTGAAGAGAACAATCTAGAACACAGGGTGCTGAAGCCAACTTGTGCCTTTTGACAAAAACTCGCCCGGGCCAGGTATTGGTTTCCTGTGGCTGCTTGTAAGGAAGTACCACAAACGAGGCAGCTTAGAAATGAATTCTCTCGTGGTCTGGAGGCCAGAAGCCTGAAGCCAAGGCGTCGGTGGGGCTGCTTTCTTCCACAAACTCCGCAGAAGAACCCGCCCCCTGTGCCGGGCTGTGGGCCGTGCGTGGCGCTCCTCAAGTGTAGACGCACCAGCACTCCACCTGCCTCCTCCCATGGCCGCCTTTCTCTGCATCCCTGACTTCTCGTCTTGTAAGCACCCAGGCAGTTTGGACCAGGGCCCACCCGGATGACCCGTCTTAACTCAGTGACACCTGCCAAGACCTTATTTCCAGATAAGGTCACGTTCGCAGTTCTGGAAGTAGGACTTCAACCGATCTTTTGGGGGACACAGTTCAACCCATAACAGACCAGTAAATAAGCTAGCTTCTTTCTCCCCTCCATCTTCTGTCTTGTGGATGTGTCTTCTCAGGACTGAAACCTGAAGGGCCAGGCCCCCGCTCGGAGCCAGATGGCTTTTCTGTGGTTTATCACGAAAACCCAAACACGACCCAACGTGTCGCTTCAGTGTGAGAATGTGTTCCAAATCTCAAGGTGGTAGCGTGTAGACCAAGCTGGAGAACGAGCCCTCCCCAGCCTGCCCGCTGCAGGATGTTGGGGTGACCCGTATGGTATTCTGGGGGCTGGGGTCAGACTGGGTGACCAGCAGGAAGGGTCCACCTCAGACGACCGACCAGGGAACTGACGCGGTTGGCACAGGGTGTCAGAGGCGAGCCTGGCAGAGATCTTGGGACCAGGAGGCCACATCGGGGGCTGAGGCATGAAGCAGTGGGGTTTGGGGCCGGGTGTCGGGGGCAGCGATGGGGTTAATGCAGGCGACACCAGACTGACTGTGTAGAAAGCAGCAATGGGCTGCTGGTGGGTGCCCTAGTCCATTGGCCAACTTCCTCTAGTTTTAGAACATCACACCGCACCATCACCACCTCACAAAGGGCGTGGCCCAAATTGACCTCCAGGATATCACAGGCGAGATGCGTTTGGTTTTGCCTCTGGTTTCACACTGGGTATTTCACAAACTCGGTTTTGTGGGGTTTTTCTTGCTAGGAGAGTGAGTCTGAGCAAATGACTGCATCGGGCTGGGAAAGGGTTCACTTCCAGGACCTGTAATTCACTCGTTTGTTCTTTTCATGTTTTCAGCCACTCCTCGATATTCCTATTATTAGTCTTCCCTCCATATCATGTGCGAATGTTTTTGCATTTCTGCCCAGGGCTGTGACCCAGATTTCACTTAATAGAACAGAGCACAAAGCAAGGGCTACTGCTTGTTTGCTGAATGGTCCACGTGCACAGATGAAAATCTGCTCTCTCATCCCCCTCAGCTTCCCTTGGGTTTATTTTTCTCCTCATTTTATTAATCAACTATGATTAAAAAACAAAAACAAAAAACCTTCACACTTTCTCCACGTGAAATCCAGCCACGGATTAGTGCGTTCTGATCTCTAGGAACCCAGTGGCCACAAAGCTGGGCTGTGTAGCTCCAGTTCCTACAGTCTGAACAGAAACCAGATGTGAGCGGTTTGGACTAGTGCGGCGAGCTGGACTCAGGGTGTCAGTGCCGAAGCGGAAGCGTCAGTGCCAGGGAGAAGCACCAGACCGCCGATTGCAAGCCAATGAGGCAGCTTCTGTGGGCGATGCATCCTCTCTCGTGATCGTGTGCCTGTGTTTTTCAGCTTAATTTCCAAATGAGCTGTCAGGAATGCAGAACTCCTTCATCAGGCACTCTCCCCCTGTTCACAGCGGAACCTTGCCTCCCACCTGAGGGTGGACGAGCAAGTCATTCAACACACCTGTCAAAGTGGAGCATCTCCTTGAGAATCTCAGGTGGAGAATCTCAGATGGTCAGCCCCCGAATGTGTACTAGTATGTTCTAATTAATGCACCTCACTGACGCACTGCAGGGCTTATTTCCCTGCCAATAAAACAGAAAACTCAGGATACACTTTGTGGTGTAGTAGCTGTTCAGGTAATCTTTGTCCCTAGAACACACGGAAGCATACATGAGGAGGAATTGAGGAGGCAGAGCCCTCTGGTCTCAATACATTTTCCGGACATGTAAGGACACAGCAAATCTGTGGCCCTCATGGGGCTGCATTGAGACCATGCGGGGAGAGCGGTGACCACCACAGTGTGTGGAGCTGCTCCATAACAGGCATCGGTACCTCTCTCCCTAGGCTGCTACAGCCCCTCTTATGTCTTCTGCCTCCAGCCTGTAAGCTTAGCCCAGCTCCTGGCTCAGCACAGACACCCTGTAAGTACTTGTCAAATAGTGAGTGGTGCAGCAGCAGAGCCTCGTATAAACCTACACGATGGGTGTCAATTTGGCCCCAAGTACCAAGCAGTCCTCTGTATCTGTCTATGGGTGTCGTCCCCTTATCAGTAGCAAAAAAAAAATTTATCAGTATGTATTTAGATTTGGACAAGAGGAGCCCCTGTCCCAGGACCTGAGCATCAGGAGCCCTGTCTGGCCTTGGCCCTCACCAGAGGATGCACTCCTCCAGATTCTGCACCTCTCCCTTCTCACCATGCTCCAAGGGCCTGAGATCCAGACTTTCTTGCCTGGATGACACTGAACTTCCCTCTCCAGCCTGTGTGGGCCTCTTACAAAGGTCCATCCCCCTGTGGGTGGGCCATGCCAGCAGTGTGTCCATCCCCAGGTGCATCTCATGTGCCTTGGCAAATCTGTGTGCTGAGCTGGATCCCGTATTAACCTTTAATGTCTGAAGGATCTGTAGTGATGCCCCCTGTTCTATTCCTGATACTGCTAATTTGTGCGTGCTCTCTTTCTCTCCTTTGTCAGTCTTGTTAGAGGTTTGTCAGTTTTATTGATTAAAAAAAAAACCCAGCTCTTTGTTTCATTGATTTTCTCTATTGTTTTTGTTTTTAATTTCATTGATTACTGCTTTTGGTTTATATTTATTCATTCATTCATTTCCTCACACTGATTTGTATTTATGTCCTTCTTTGTGCTCGCTTTGGGTTGATGTTGCTCTTTCTCTAGATTCGGAGGGGAGAGTTTTCTATTGTTTTATCCTCCATTTTGCTAATACCTTCTTCTGTTCCCTTCATTCAGCTATTGGGCCCAAACTGCAAACTTTTAATTTTGATTGTTGTATTTTTCAGATTCCGATTTTCCACTTAGTTCCTCCACACATTTCCTGTTTGTTAGTTGAGGGTTTTATCTATTTTTATTTGTTTCAACCTGTTTTCAACCTCTTTTTGAAGCATTGTTTCATGGCTGCTTTGAAATATTTGTCAGATAATTCTAACATCTCTGTCAGCCTGTTTTGTCGTCTATTGGTTGCCTTTTTTCCACTTGGATTGAAATGTTCCTGGTTCTTGGTGTGATGAGTGATTTTTTTGTTGTTGTTGATATCTGCATTTTTAGTTATTATGCTGTGAGACCCCAGATCCTTTCTAAGGCTTGGGTTTAACAGGTGTGCTCAGACACCACCCCCGCAGAGGAAGTGGGGGTGCCACCTCATTACTACAGAGAGGGGTGGAAGACCACCCCTTTCCAATTGACTCTTGAGTGGGGGTCTGTTGCTGCTGAACAGAAGGGGGTGTTCTGGCTCCCAAACAGCCTCCACTGCCACCAAAGGAAGGTGTGGTCTCATTACCACCGAGCAGTGGTTGAAGCCCTGATGTCCACTGAGTGGTGGACGCCACCCCTGTGGGGTTGGTGGGCCCCTCATTACAGCCTAGTGAGGAAGGACTCTAGGCTCCCCCACACGAGAGGACAGGCCTTCCTTGGGGCTTCTCCTTCTTTTATTCCTCTGTGCCCCTTGGTGTTTAGGGCTGCTGGTTTCTTCAGCTCCAGGTGTGGGATACACGAGGCAAAAAGAAAATCCAGGGGACTGACCACCACCATGTCCTGAAGTCCAGAGCTCACCTGCCTTCTTTTCTCCACGTTTTAGAGTCTTTTGTTTGTTTTCTATGAGATGTCCAGAGTGTTTGCTTGTTCTTAAGGAGAGGAATGGGGAAAAGAGCACATGTCCCATCTTCGGCATGTGTAATATATGTGCTTCCAGGATGTAATAGAGACAGCACACCCCCCCTCACGAGGGGCGTGCACATACATAGTATTGCATAAGGAAGTGGACTGAGGAGTGTGGCACAAAGCACCTCTTGCTGGGAACCAGTCAGTGCTGGGAGCAACATTTGCGTATCCATCTAAATCAGATATTACTGATTTCAAGCCCCAGCATCTGCAGGGGTCACGGCTAGAGTTTTACCTTTAGTAGTTTGGATTCAAAATGAGGCGTAACATAGAAAGCAAAATCGAACCGAATCTTTCAGATGTTCAGAGGTTCGTGCTATACGTTCTTCAGCTGACATGCCCAAGATGGCATCAGAAGAGTGTCTTTAACAGCAGTAAACCGGGAGAAGAAGACATGGATGACTCAAGACATGAGTTCTGATTAAACTCAAGCTGCACTGGTTTGATTAGTATTCCCTCGGGATGTTGCACATGACTTTCTATGGCAGAATCTGGTTAAATATGGAATATGGCGCTTATGAAAATTGAAGCTCTCTCAGCTGTTTAAAGATGTCCTTCCATTTAGAAAATCACAGTTGTTCCATACAAGATGTGGACCTTTGCAACCCCTAATTTGTTTTCAGCTGCGATGAGTCAGAGACCGGCACAGAAACTGAAGTGTTTATTTGAAAAGTACTTCTTGACGATAATTAAATCCATGCTGGAGAATAGAGGGTACATTTATGCACCTATAAATCCAGACAATGGCAGGGAAAGATGGAACACAGCTGGCTAAAGAATGCGCTAGGATCGAATTTCATTCCTCCCCTCCTCCTCTTCTTTTTCTTTTTGTTGTTTGACATTTGCTAATCCTCTCGACCCACCTGCACATCAGGTTCCTCACCAATCTCATTTGTGATTCTGAGTCCCGTGGGACAAAGGTGGTGTCAAGAATAACAATGATTACAAGTGGAGGACGATTTGAAACTAACGTGAAACCAAACCAATCTTTGTTTCCTCTTCTCTGTCATGTAGCTATCCTTAAGTTCATGCCCTATCTTTATTGCTGGCTTCTGGGAGGAAGGATTTGGTTCCCCCATTAATAAAAGCAGTGATGCGTTCCATTTGTATGAAGAACACCCTGCAAGCATCGTCCCATCCCCCCTTTACAAACACCCAGTATGAGTGACTGCCCAGTGGTAGGTAAGAGGTAACTGAGCCCCAGTCAGGATAAGTGATGTCCCAAGGACAAGTGATGGGAGGTGGCAGAATGAGGAGTTACCATTGTCCAGGTTCCTGGCTTTGCTGTCTGTGCGTGATCCGCTCTTGTCTTCTTCTTTGCGTATGGACGTACCGAGCAGGACATCACCTGTGTTTCTCAAATCTCCCAGTTGTCTATGTAATTAGCTCAACTCAATCCACAGAGTTCAATAACTAATTTTGTAGTACAATTTACTGTTTCTATCATTTGTTGCCCATGGAAATCGATGGTTGAGACTCCAGTTGAGAAATCACCTATTCTGAAAATGTAATTAAAGTTGAAAATGGAGAGATTTCGATTGTTTTGGAAAGTGAGCCACTGTGGTGAAACCTTACAGTAAGTTCACACCTGTCGATTTTTTTAATTAGCAGTGAGGTCTGCCTGTGTCCCCAGCACACACCGCGTGGTTCCACATCCTTCCACTCAGGGCCCCACGTGTCTGTCTGCATGGTGTCACTGAGCACCTCCTGCTCTTCTGCTTGGTGGCCGCGTCAGAGCGCAGGAAAAATGGCGAGTGTCTGTTTACACCGAAATTAGTTTTTTTTTTTTTTAGCACCTGACCATTTTACAACATCCTAATAAAAGAGATCATCAGTCTTAATTTTCTGAGAGATGGGAATTTTTTTGTGAAATGCAAGTAACTATTCATTTAAAAAAAAGATTTAATTATTTGAGAGAATGAGAAAGAGAGAGAGCAAGGGGCGGGGCAGAGGGAGAGAGAAAATCCTGAAGCAGACTCCACGCTGAGTGGGGAGCCTGACACGGGGCTGGACCCCTGGACCCCAAGATCATGACCTGAGCTGAAATCTATAACGGCCTGAGCCACCCAGGTGCCCCTCCAAGTAACTAATCTTAAAAGTGATTTAACTATAATTTGACATCAAGCTTAATCCTATTATGGTTCCAACAGTTATTAATGATAAAAATATACTGAGTTCAATTCATTTTTTTCCAGAATCAACAGAAAACACATTTTAACGAATTAACTATGAATTTAAATGTAAATACATAGATTTAATTATATTAGCGAATATTTTCCTTTTTTCCTGTGGTTATACAATATTAGCAACAAAAATTTTCTTCTTGGGCGCCTGGGTGGCTCAGTTGGTTGGGCGACTGCCTTCGGCTCAGGTCATGCTCCTGGAGTCCCGGGATCGAGTCCCGCATCGGGCTCCCTGCTCAGCGGGGAGTCTGCTTCTCCCTCTGACCCTCCTCCCTCTCGTGCTCTCTGTCTCTCATTCTCTCTCTCGCAAATAAATAAAATCTTAAAAAAAAAAGAAAAATTTTCTTTTTTTTTTTTTTTAAAGATTTTATTTATTTATTTGACAGAGACAGAACAGGAACACAAGCAGGGGGAGTGGGAGAGGGAGAAGCAGACTCCCCGCCGAGCAGGGAGCCCGATGCGGGACTCGATCCCGGGACTCCAGGATCATGACCTGAGCCGAAGGCAGTCACCCAACCAACTGAGCCACCCAGGCGCCCCAAAAGAAAAATTTTCTTCCTTAAGGATAACAAACATAAAACTAATAAGATAATTAGGCAATTCTTCAGTCAATGTGGCAATCTAATTCTTGCCATGCCTCTGGAACTGTTCATTCAGAATGTCCTGGGTCTTGGAAGCCCCTCAATTCCATATTTCTTCCATGCTTTAAAGTGTGCCCAGATCCTCACTGTCCTGAAATATGAGCCAAGGGATTTGAATTCCTCTGTTACCTCCCCACCACACTCACCTATAATCCAGCTGTG